TGTGGGCAATACTGTCATTGTGTTATACTGTTATTACTGACTTATTGTCCTTTTATACTTCACATTTACAACTCTTGGTCATTGCAATTTTTTTCTGAGCCACATAATTTTTTATATTTTATATTTATACTTGCATTTTCTATTTTTTTTCCCCTTTTTGTCCATATTATTGTTGCACCATCCCACCAGAACAAATTCCTCCTATTGTGTAACCATACCTGGCAATAAACCTGATTTTGATTCTCATCTAGCACAAGAATTTCCTTTAAGAAAATTCTGCTTTATCTTTACCTCAACTTAAAAATCCTCCACTAACACGAGCATGTTAAACAATTAAGTTCCTACTTTATAATAAGTGCTTTTTTTTTTTTTCTTTTCTCCCCACTCCGTGTTTTTGCACCGGAGCGTGTGGGTGTGTCCGACGGGCCGTGAAGGCAGCAGCAGATGCGGGTCTTATTTGTTCTCTCCAGCAGGAGGGCGTTCCGCTCAACAACACACAGACACTGAGCCCAATTATGCCGGCGTTCACTGATTCATATTTAGATGCTGGCCAAGCTTAAGCCCGAGTGTGCGAGCGCTCTGACAGCCGGAGCAGCCCTTCCTTCATGTTAGCCTTCCTGCTGGTATCGCTGCCGGGGGAAAGGCGACGGAGGAGGCCGGGCTGGAAGACATGGAGGCTGGCCGTCCTTGCAGAGGGACCGAGCTGTAGGACGGTAGGCTCTCTGGCATTTCTTCCTCCGTTAAGAAACAATGAAAGGCAGGTTAGAGAGAGAGCGAGAGAGGGGGAAAAGCGGCTGTTAAGCTAGCTAACACCGCTTCTGTTTTAGCTTTGTTTGTTTTTTTCTTTCCCGTCGTCGTCAAAAGCATTTTTTTTTTACACAGACAATAATGATGGTGGCTCAAGTCTTTTTCTTCAGTCCGGGAATGGCTGTTGTTTTTCTTTTCTTTTTTTTTTTTTACAGCTTTACTGGACCGAGGAGGAGGGAAAACAAACAGCACATACTTTATATTTGAACAGTTTTCTGCCCTTATTTGAAGGCTGTTTTTTCCCCTTCTTTTCCCTCCATTAAAGCAGCAGCAGCAGCCAGTGAAGCCAACGTGACACCAGAGACACGTACGTTCAGGATGGAAACAGCTGCTGGACACTAAAACCTGCTTTATTCTGAAAAAAAAAACACCCACATGTCATCTAATTAGTCCAGTTCAGAATCAACAATCTATCCATACACAGTCGTCCTCAGATGTATTCATACCCTCCCATTAAAGAAGGAAAAACAGGTGTCACTGAAATAAGTTGAAAGAAGGAAAAACAGGTGTCACTGAAATAAGTTGAAATTGACAAAAATAATAATAAATAAAAAAATGTAATGAAAATCATGACATTGCTTTTGAATTATGGTTCAGCAGAAGTATACAAAGAAAAAAAAAAAAGCATGATAGGACCCATAAACTCATATTTTGTTTTGTTTTTTTGAGCCAATCACTGCAATCAAGTGTTTTCTGTATCTCTCCATCAGACTTCTGCACCTGTTGACAAGTATTTTGATTTTGTCCCACTGCTCATCAGCAAAGTGCTCTAATTTGTCTGGGACAGTTTTTTGTTTTTTAAAAAAAAAAAATTCACTCACAATTCAAAAGCAATGTGTCGTTTCACTAAATTATAATTTAGCAAATTTTTATTTATTAATACTTTTTCAGTTTCTAGTTATTTGAGTGACAATTGTGAATTTTGTCTTTTCTTTAATGGAAGTGTATGAGTACATTTGAGGACAACTGTATATTTAAAAGAAGTACATAAACTATGTCTGAATGAAACGAGGAGGAAAAACAATCAGATAAATCTATGTTAATAAACTGCTAATACATTACTCATGTCATATATATGAAGAGCTCATTTGCAAAAACAGACAACTCCATCTTCACAAACCTTCAGAAAACACCCTTTTGCATCATCTACCTGAGGCAATATCAAACTTAAGTTATCTCCATTTTTGTCATTTCTACTGAGTCAAATCCACTCAACTTCAGTTTCATTGATTGATTATCTCAAGCAAACAAACAAAAAATAAGTTTTCTGCAAATCTTCAAAAATGGAGTTATCTGTTTTTGCAAATTAAATCTTTGTCTTGTTTTCTAAACAATCCCTCAAATGAATGAGGCTTAACTGTGTTTTAAACTGAAATTTCCCTCTGTGATTGTTGTCTGACGTAATGTCCAAGTTTTCAATTCCTTCACTTTAATGAACCGTGTTACAGTTTAGGTTCACAGTTACTTTATTAATACCCCTGGGTAGATTTGTTTTGCAGAAAACATTTGGCATTTCTTAACAAAACACACACTGAACCCGAAACGCAGGTACTTAATCGAGTGACAAGACAAAAACAATAAAATAAAAAAGGCATAAAAGTGCTCAGTATCCTGCCATTCATCAATAAAAAAAGCAAGGAGGTATAAAGATAAGATAAAATAGATAAGATCACGATAAATGAAAATAAAACACCTTAGGGAAATAAAAGCAATCTCTGGGATGAAAAGCAATATAAGAACATAAAATGTAATTTAATTTAAAAGTCACAATGATAGATAGAGCTAAGAAATAAAGCAAGTAGAATAAAACAAAGTGCAAATGACACTAGTTCTTACTGAGCAGGAACAAAGCTGCTTCTGTAACCTTTGTCCTGCACCTTGGGACTAAAAACCTCCATCCAGAGGGGAAGAAGCTGAAATTCAACTGGTAGAGGATGGGAGTCATCATTAAGGATTGATAGAGCCATCCTCTGTTTCTAGGTAATTTATAGATCACATGCTTTATTTCTGTTTGATTTAAAGTGGAGGCAGGTTTTTCATTGTTTATGCTGATGATTATCAATCAAGGAGACCAATAACCAAATATCTGAGTCTGTGCTTCGGTACAGGCAGCTGGATTTCTGTTTTTGGTTCTTGAAGATGTTTCACCTCGTATCCAAGAGACTTCTTCAGTTCTGACTTGGTTAGTTCTGATATTTATTGTCACCCCCAAATCACATGGCTGATGGTTTATTAATGACTCGCATGCCTCGACGTGTGAGTGAGTGTGAAGCTGCCAGGTCAGGAATGGTGTTTGGAGATGACATATATTGAAAATCTTGGTGTCACATTTTAAAATAACCAAAGGTTCAACACAACACGTTTCTGAAATGCCTTTGCTATATGTTTTGCATATGTTAGTGCAACATTTCTCAATCTAGGTGATCAAAATTGCTATTTGAAACTTATGGTAAATGTCTGATCCAGGCCTTACACAGTCGGATTAGCAGTTTTATAAATTCATGCTTTGTGTGTGACAGTTACACTTTCGATGGTATTTTATGTAGTACTACTCAAGCGTGTGTTCTAAATCTTTTAACACAGTGACTACTGAACTGAAATTAACCCAAAATTTCCGTCAGAAAAATCCCCGAATCCTGCAGCCCTGCATGTTGCCTCGACATTGTGACTACAGGTGGAGAGATGTGGCTGCATCCGAGACCAAATCGTACATTTTTAATTAGTTTGTTCTATCAGGAATTGGTGGAAAACAAATACTATAACATAATTGGATTGGATATAATTTGACTTAACAGAGTCACTACTTCATGACGCCCCATAATGACACTTATCAAGTGAATGAGAGTTAAGTGAACAGAGGTTAATTAACATGGAACTCACAGGGGGACAGTCAGGGAATCAGAGAGCTAATGAACTGAAGTGACACATTAATAAAATTGAACAATAATGATAATACATGGGCTGCAAGGTGACTCGTGGTTAGCATCGTTGCATCGCAGCAAGAAGCTTGCCGGTTTGCGTCCTGGTGAGGATCTTTCTGCGTGGAGTTTGCATGTTCTCCCCGTGCAGTGTGGGTTCTCTCTGGGTTCTCTGGCTTCCTCCCACACAGTCCAAAAACATGTTGAGGTTAATTGGTGATTCTAAATTGTCCGTAGGTGTGAATGTGAGTGTGCTTGGTTGTCTGTCTCTAAGTGTAGCCCTGTGATAGACTGGTGACCTGTCCAGGGTGTCCCCTGCCTTCACCCTGAGTCAGCTGGGATAGACTCCAGCCCCCCATGACCCTAGTGAGGATTAAGTGGTGTATAGATGATGGATGGATGGATGGATGATAATACACACAAGCACTGACAACACAATGCAGTGAATAAATACATCATTCCTGCTTTCTGCCTTTTTAGGAGTGTTGTCTTCATTTACACAGATCCTGCAATGTAACCTATCATATTGATGAGTTTCTCTGTAATTCTCACCTCTAATAATTACATCATTAGATTTGTAGACGTCCCACTTTCAGAGAATTACATTAAAACAAGTTAACAGGAGATAAATTATTGTATCTACCACAGTGTTCATGCGTTTTTATTTAATGTAGCACCTATGACCAATTCAAGATCATTTAAATAGGCTAGTTAATTGTCTTTATATGATGTACAAATATCCATAACATGTTAGCCAATAGGTTTAACATGTTCAAATCAGTCTTGATATAAATTAAAATCCATTCTTTATGTTCATGACAAAACAAGTAAAAACAAACAAAATTCTGTCCAAGGATAAAGTAGCTTTTCAGACATTTTCTTACACTGACAAAACATTTTTTATCTGTTATATTCGGTGAGCCTCCTGTGTTACTTCAAGTTTAGGAAATTCTCCACAGTAATACCTTTCAAGTATAGAACAAAGATAAAACTTTGTCTTTTAGTTTCACACATAAACAGCCACACAATGGCTCAAAAGTACTCCTCTGCTTGGCTTTTTAGGACCATTAAAAATGCCTCTCCGGAGTGTTTTTACACATTTTGTCTGTCACAAACATAGTCGTGGAAAAGGCTGAATTGTGTGGCCCTGCGGAGGCATAATGGAACATAAATCAAGTCCCAAAGTAAATGTCTGTATGTCCACTCCTGCTAATGTTTCTTTTTCTGTTTTTGATGTGTTGTCAGTGATTTCTTCGGGGTGTTGGCCCCCCTAGCATGGACCCCGCCCACACCGGAGGGGATATGTCACCTTTGTATGTGCCAAGAAAAAGGAAGCCTGTCCAATCACAACCCAAAAGTGGAGTGCCATGTCCAGGTAAAGGAGGGAAACAGTATCCACATCTTTAGATAGCAGGGATCAACCAACACTGTGGTCATTTTAACTTTTGTAATTTCATCTTTTTATTGTGTGTTTTGTGATTTTAAATAAGTATAACTTCACTTCTCCAACAGTTGTTCAGCGAATGCCAGAAAGAGCCTGTGAACTGAATGCAGTTGGGTACCAAGAGGTGAGAATGAACATGTGCATGTTGTACAGAACAGAACATCCTGTGTGCTCTTTTGCTTTGTTTTTTGTTTTGCTAAATTATCATACCTAGACTAGCCCTGCTGTGAGATGCTGCTAGTAAGACGGGTCTGACTGTGGTCGTCCACTTAGACGTTCTAACAATGAAGATCTGTTAACTCTATGCACACAGTCGGCCTTTTGCTTCACAGTTGTGTATCTGACGGTTTCAGAATGATGAGCCCCAACCCCAAGATGCTGTAAAGATGAAACGAACTTATGGGAGAAAACGGTAAGAGACTCATCAACCTGTTAATTTGCATCACAAGCTAGACAGCACATTTCTTCATGATAGTTATCATGTTGACATTACGAGGTGTGTCAGAGAAGTTTCAGGACTGGTGTCACGAAAGATATATTTCAAATCCAAACCACAAACTACAAGTAATCTCCCTGGAGTCTAACACACTTTCCCAGTCTTCTCTGTCACGCCGCCATGCACTCCTTGATGGATTCTTCTGGGATCCTCCTCAGCTCCGTCGTCACAGCCATCTTGATGTCGTCCACATCTTCAAAGCGGGTCCCTTTGATGACCCCCTTGAGCTTGGGGAAGAGGAAAAAATCCCACGGAGCCAGGTGGGGTGAGTAGGGAGGTTGCTCCAGCACGGCGATGTTCTTCTCAGCCAGGAACTGTGGGATGCTCAGGGCGTTGTGAGCAGGCGCGTTGTCATGGTGAAGCAGCCACGACTTGTCCTGCCACAACTCTCACCTCTTCTCGCGTACTGAACATAGCAATCGCTGCGGGGTCTCTTTGTAGATGTGCTGGTTGATCGTCTAAAAGGGAAAACTGGTAGTTTGTAGTTTGGGTTTGAAATCTATCTTTTGTGACATCAGTCCTGGAACTTTTCTGACACACCTGGTATATTGCAAAATACCTCATTTTTGCTTACAAGTGCATGTTATTACTCTATTCAGAATGTTGCAAACACAAGCCACTTGTTGAGATATTCTTGCCTCTTTTAACACTTTCTATACCTCTGTATCTTGTTATATCAACTGCTTTTATTGCTCACCTTAGTTATCATCAGATTCAACAGAGATGCATAATTAAAGATATGGTTTAAGTAGCCTACAGCTGTATTTAGTAGGGTTTTCTTGCTTAGAGGAATTTTTGGAAAAATATTTCAAAAGATTTTTCTCCAGTTTTATTAATTGGGGTCTCATTTACTCTTGTTTATCAAATGGTCAGAAATAACTGGAAAACTCATAGATAACTTAGGCTAGTTAACACACACAATATGATTATTAATATATATTTAATATTAAAACTTAAGCAGATGTAACCGTTGTTGCTATCAACGAGTAACAAAATACTGCACATGACGTAAATGTAATATAAAGTAAACTGCTACAACAAAAATCAGCGTGTGGCCCGATGAGAACGCGTCACTAAACAGCTTCTACACACCGGTCTGTATAATTATACTTTCAGGCAACATAATTGTCAACTGTCACGGGTTGTTTGTGCTGCCCATTGTTCAATATGTGCTTACATACATACTGTGGTTGCACTGACACAAGCCTAGTCTCATTATTTAACAGCCACACCTCGTACATTTTGCAGCACACTTGACCTAGAAATGAAATTTTCATGTCAGTGGTTTTTACAAATTCATGCCAACCTCATTTTGGGACAGTCACGCTCTTGATGGAGTCTCATGCGGGACTGTTCCTTCATGTTTTGAGTGTATCACACAGTAAATATTAAACTGAAGCTTGACTTTAAAATGTTATTTAACAAATCAAATCACTGTATCTGTCAGTAAATAGTAATTAGATATTGTCTATAAATCATTCAGCTCTGTTTGATGTTGATGTGGGCCACATGCCTGCTAATGGTTGGATTAGCATCAAGGTATTTTGGTTCACTATTTATCATACATGGGGGTTATTTCAGGACCTTTTTAAGATAAACAGTAGGTTAGCCTCAGCTTCACATTATACATCTTGTGAGATCCTGTAACACTTCTAAACATCAGGGTGCGTTGAAACAGAACAACATTTCAGTGACTGACACTGGGAGCAGTGCTGAACTGTGCTTCAAGGTCTTATTCGTCTGTTTTAGTGCTTAAAACAGCCTTCAAAGAAATAGTTCAGCGTGAACATCAGTTGAGACCTCACACTGAGATCCTGCGGCTGCATTGTTATCACAAAACAACATGTCTCAGATCACTTGGAACAAGATAGATCAGTGCTTATTAAAAACTGAAAATGGGAAACTGTGCACGGACTGAAAGGAGTCATACTGCGCCTGCATTGTGAACCATTCAGCTCCTGGGCTTTGACTCAACCACAGCACAGACAAGCCGTCATTTGTTGTCTTTTTACTTTCATACGTAGGACTATTTTGTGCCTTAGATGTTTTAATTGGGACAAATGTGTTGCAGAATTAGTTTGCCGAGTGTTTTTTTTTGAGTGCAGAGTGATAAACATGTACCTCTTTGATTTTGAACAGCGTGGAAGAAAACTGAATGTTAATGATGATACTAATAGACTATTTTTAATTAGATCACTTTATGTGCTTTTTAAAGGTGACTTTTTTTAAAATTATTGATCATTTGTATAATAAAAATGTGTCCAGTTGTATCCGATCCATAAGCTCACTATCTAATAACTGGTTTAATAACTTTTTCAGTTATTTCTGAAGTGATAAGTGTATTGTTTTTTTGTTTTTTTTAATCAGGTACGAGGACCTCCAGAGTGTCCCGTTAGGAGCAGTAGATTACCCGACCACCAGCTGCTCTGTCCTGCCATCAGGCAGCCTGGCCAATGGGTCGGATCCAGGATCTTTGGCTCCGCCCACTGCAAGGCTCCCTCCGAGACTGGTGGCGAAGGATGTTTGGCCTCAAGGTCCAGAGGCCAGCAGGGAGCAGTCCCAGCCTCAGGACCAGAGCTGGAACTCCAGCAGGGACCGAGACCCTGATGCCTGGGCTCCAGGCAGAGACCGACCCCAGGACCAGGTCTGGAACTCAGGCAGAGACAGAGCAGGACACTCCAGTCAAGACCAGACGTGGATACCAGGCAGGGACAGAGCTCACGTTGAACCAGACCAGGCCTGGGTGAGGGGCGGGGAGCGCGGTCCTGAGCCGGGTTGGGGGGCCGGTAGGGATCGGAACCAGGATCAGGCCTGGAATGGAGGCAGAGATCAGGGAAGAGACCGGGCCTCCTCGGGGCCAGAGCAGGGGTGGGGCAGTGGCCGAGACCAAGATGAAGGCTGGAGCAGCACGAACAGGGACCGAGGAAATGTCTGGAGGCCTGGTGAATATCCACCCTCATTACACATGATTTCATTCTGTACTTGAAGGCAGTGGCATCAAGTCTGAGTCTACGTGAGCTTCTCAAAGATCCAGTTACATTTTTTACAATATCATTCTGAAAATGATCGTGGGTCATGTCAGGATTATTGTTTCATGATATGCTGAACACAGACTTGTGCGTGTGTCCATGTTGTTCTGTACAGAGTAGACAGTTCTTTGATATATTTTGGAGGCTAATTTTTTTTTGTGTCATTTTAAAGATCTGAACATGAAGAAAGTCCAGAGAGCGGAGATGGAGCGAAGCCCCCCTGTCAATAACTTCCCACAGCCACCAGAGGCCAGAGACTCCTGTAAGAGACCATCTAGTTTACTATTTAACAGGCTGTGTATTACGTTTCCTTCTGAAGAATGCTTGCATGAAGAGTTCTCTAGCTCGCGTGTCTCAGTGTTAGACAGAAATGCAGGACTGGCTCTAGCTGAAAAAGATGCTCCAAAGTAATCTTTTCTATTTATAAATCAGAGTTTGAAAAGTTGTTCCACAGTTTGTCCTGAGTTCATTACAGAACAACAATCTAGGTCTGTCTTGTGAAGCATATTGGCTTCCTGTTGTTGTCGGCAGCAGCACTCTCAGGCACTAATATGTTGTGACAGAGGCTTTTAGCGGGGCACAGCCACTGACTGTAATACTGCTTGGTCAGAAAAGGCCACTTGTAATCATTACAGTGATGTCACCATTATTCCAGCAAGATGTTGAACTGTTTTTGATCAGGGAGCTGTCTTTGAGTGCCAGGCTCTCTTTTGCAGGAGCCCTTATTACCCTCCAACAACTGCAAACATTCGTGGACATACAAGAATTTGCCCCAACAGTAATTAATCATGTTTAGTAGCAGTGAGTAAAATTAACTTGATATCAACAGTTGTGATCTTTTGGCGGCAGTCTGCAGAGGGTAATCAATGAGAGCTCAGCTGCAGTAACTGAAACTGTTTCCATCAGAGAAACATAATCAGATTGGGTATTTCTTAAAGAGCCCATAATATGCACATTTACAGGTTCATTACTTTTGTTTATGCATGTAATAGAATATGTTTCCATGCTCTAGTGTTTTTCCTCATACTGTACATTACTGTAAGGACAAATAAATAGCAATACAATTATGCATGCAGTGCCATAATTCACCTCATGTACATCCTTTAGGTTCAGATGCAGCCAGCATTGGTGAGGCCTCAACAGCCCAGCAAAGCGAAGACCAGAAACCTCCGATCCTCCCGACCAAGAAGGAGCCTCCGACCTACCCTTCAGGTGAGAGCAGCAGCTGTAAAAGTAAGTCTCTGTGAATGTAGTGAAGTTTTGATTGGCAGAAGTAGTTTCTTGCACTTAAGAAATCTAAATGAGCGATGGGTGCTGTTTTGTTTTGAGTTGACAGAAATAGGTTTTTGTTCTTTTTTTTGTAATAAATTCCAAAATAAAGTTAAATACCACTAGAATAATTGTAGTTTTGGATTTATTACATCAGTTATAAATGCCAGGGGAAGTTATGTAAGAATAAGTACGGACTTGACTGCTTCTATTTACTAAAAATTCCTACGATGGAAAATAAAATAAACGTTTCATTTGTAACACCAGGAAGCCAAGAGGAGCGTTGGCAGCTGCAGATTGTCGCCAAAGGGAGAGTCACCTGTCCAAAATGTAAAAGTGTGAGCAGGAAGACTGTGGAGGGGCTCAAGAAGCACATGGAGAACTGCCGACTGGTGAGAACAGAGCGTTGATATCAGTCTTTTGGATAAAATGTGGAGCAACCAAAGCATCCCCTGCTGTCTATAATGCTCTCTCCTTGGCATGACCCTTTCTAGAAATTTTGCATTAGTGTCTCAACTCATAGATTTTTTTAATCATCACAGGACAAGTTAAAAGACATCTAGAATATTTGCATATCAATGACTGCTATTTTTAATAAATCCTTTGCCTGAAACTAAACAATTCTAAACACTAGGCTATAAAATGTATCAACTGTTAATCATGATTTTGGCCTGCTACAGTTAGATATACATGCTCAGCTATGATATTGTTATTCACAACATGTGCTGGTTACATTAGAAGGCTTTGTTTCACTGTTTCCAAGTTAATCTTTGATCACAAGTCTGGAGGAGACTAGAGGCTTCTCTGTGCTCTGTCCAGCTAACTACCACAGTAGCCTGCAGGTGAGGCATTTAGGGAACATCAGATGCAGAACAAGTGAGGCATTTTGGGTACAATTTGATTTATATTTATCCTCTAGGAGATGCGCTGAATCAAGCTGAAGCTCAGTGCTCTGTTTATTTAAATGTGAAAGTGCAATAAAAATAAAGTCAGTGAATAATCACGATGAATAACGGTGACGTTGATACGGATCAAAATAGTTGTGCTCCTAAAAAACTGTGTTGACAGGCTAAATCTACACAAATCTGTCAAAGTTTATACCGTATGAATGTTTCTTTTATAGTCCAGTACAGTGTCACAGTGGGGAGTTGCATTTCTAAGTAATTACTTAGTCCTAATAATAAGCTATTTAAAAAGTATATGTGAGCCTAAAATATGCACTAACTAATGAAGTATTAAAGTCATGAATAAATACTGAATAGGAATTGTGCTGCAACAACTAGAACGCTTTAGTCTCTAAAGGGAGGAAACCCAGGTTTCACTAATGTAACAGTTCGTTCGTAATAACTTTATGAATGAGTCCTGACTACACTCCCAGGGGTTTGTGCACACTAGAATTTGTCTTTACTGTGAAACATCTTTGGTTTATAACATGTACCAAGTTAAAGATTTATTGTAATGTCACTCTGTTGTCTACAGCAACCTTTTACCTGTCAACACTGTGGAAAACAGCTCAAGTCTTCAACAGGGATGAAGTATCACATCATGGCTGACCACAGCCACTTGGTAAGACTATTTAGCACTAACGTTCTTCATTTCCTGGATCTCAGCTGTACTACTATTTTGAATTTTTGCCTGGCTGTTATGATTTTTAATTTTGTAGCACTTGTCCAACTACTTAGTTCTGGTTCTATGATGTAACTTATCATAATACAACCATATTATTGGCTTTCATAAAAGCCTTTGTGTACTTTTTTGATATCATGTGTATTTTATTTAATCCAAGATACACACTTAGTGGAGTGGGCGGTTAAGATAGTAGCATTTGAAACTCATTTTCTGCCCTTTCTAGCCCTCAGCAGAGGATGCCAAGGACCTGGACGACCGTGCCATCAAAGACAAGCTGCGTAAAATCCTGAAGAGACTGGGCAAATTAAAATGCTCTAAAGAGGTAAACTGTGACCACTGGTGCTGAACTTATACATGACCTGTCTGTTTGACAGCTGTTGTTTCCTTTAAGTTAGAAAATGTAGTAAATTAAGATGGTGGTGAAAATATTTTGTTTCCAGGGTTGTACCGCTGCCTTCACCAGCATCATGGGATACGTGTACCACATGAAGAAGTGCGGGAAGGAGGAGTCCGAGCTGGAGAAGATGCTGCTGAATTGCTCTCACTGTGGGAAACCATACAAATCCAAGGCGGGTCTGGAGTACCACCTGAAATCAGAGCATGCTCCTGTGAGTCCTATGTCTTGCTTTGGCCACTAATTCAGAGTAGTTGGTCATTTTCAGTCAGATTTGTTTATATGCAATATCGCTTTCTATACACAAGCATTACAAGTTGTAGTAAGTAGTTATATGATGGTGCTCTGAATTTAGCTATGATTTATTTGTTTAATCATTAATCAGAATTTAGGAAGTTAACTAGTCCTTGGTATCCCTGTTGAATCAGCTGCCTTTTTATACATCTGTGAAGTGTTATGTGCCCAATCTCCATCAAGTCAGTCCTTTTGACCCTCTCTGTTCTCCTGTCACTCAGACACCCCAGAAGACTGAGGAAGACGAGGCGCTGAAGGCCCAGAGGGAGGCCAACCCAGAGAGGACGGCCAGTGGCAGGGTGCAGCGAGCTTCGGCTCAGGTGGCCAACTTCCACCTGGCTGAGATCGCCAACAACGAGCTGCCTAAAGACTGGCCCAAGAGGAAGTTTCAGTCAGACCTGGTGCCAGATGACAAAAAGGCAAGAGAAGATTCAGTTTCACGTTCAGTCAGAGGATCTATGAGGGTGCATTTATTTGCAAATTTGAAAGGACAGTTTGAAAGAAGAGTACTTTTCTATATTGTTTTGAAAACCAAACAGACATGAAAGTGGTCTCCCTTATGCCAGTATAAACTAAACATGTGGCTTAATTGATCTCTAAGCTTTGACTGACTTTCTCTTTTTCATGCTGCCTCTTCCCAGTTAAAATACGCCCGACCAGGGCTGCCTGCCTTCAGCCAGGAGGTGCTGAGGAAGTGGAAGAATGAGGTGAAGCTGCAGAGGAAAGTCCAGTGTCCCAACCAGGTAAACGACAACACCACAACACGTCCTCCTGTCAGGTTACTGTTTTCATAGGGTTCGACAGAATTTAACATTTGTTTATTTATGTTAATTTATGTTATTATTAGGGCTGGGGATAGGCTCCAGCCCCTCCTGCGACCCTAGTGAGGATTACGCGGTGTAAAGATAATGGATATTAGGGCTGGAACTCATATATCACATATTAGTTACAATTAAGTAAATACAGAAAAAGTAACGCGTTAAAAATGTATGCATTTAATTGCACCTTTCTCAGTTCCCTATATTTCTGGCACACCGGTAACACTGATGCTCACACTCCAGTCGGTAGGTGGCGATAATGTATCTAAAGTTCGTTTATCAGCCGTGAAGAAGATGCTCAGGATGCATTGAGTGACGTCAGTGCACAAGAAAGTTTGGTGAACAGTGATGGAAGACAAGACTGCATTACTTGGCTTGTTGGCTGGAAAGTTTTTTTCTTATCAAGGTCGAAGTGCCCACATGGGGTGATTTTGTCAAATTTTGCATAAAGTTGAAGTCAAGTCTACTTTATGCAAAAGAGGGCGATGCTGTGCCTCTTTGCTCGAAGCTTCACTACACAATGAATGGGAAGCGAGAAACAGACGGATCCTGTGGACACGTAGCATGAGGCAGCTTGGATAAGAGCATGGTGGTGTGAAAACTGTGCAGCAAAGAGTTTTAAAACAAAAAGGCTTAAAGTGTTGAGTATAATACCTATAAGTGCAGTTTGAGTTTGCACTAATCTGTGAATGCAGTAGACAGATGAAAAATGCAGATAAATATAGATGAAAAATAAACATTTTTGCTGTTTAAGTTTACGTATATGTCTGTTCATTGAGTCAGTCATCAACGAAAATGTATTTGATTTGAAAAATTTTACTTAACATGTCAAGTATTGCTGTTTGATTAAAAAAAATGCAATTAATCGGGATTATTTAATTGCATAGTTTCTGATTAATTAGCAACATTTTTTGAATCACGTCCCACCATTAGTTATTGTGATGGCTGCTATTTGTGCAGCCGGATAATTGAAACAAGGGAACAAGACCATATGTATCATAAGATATAAAACATCAATTAAGCATTCCTGTGAGGACAATTACTCTGAGGAAAATGGATCCATTCCAGAGTAAACAAATAATACTAAAGTGAAAAGAGCACTTTCTACTTCAGTGCACTGGCCATGTATTTGTATGCTCCCTTTATGAATTTTCATATTTTATATTTCATTTTATGTTTATTTATTAATTCATTTATTTTAGTCCAAGCCAGGTTTAGTCCTTCATAAACCTCACATGTTTTTGTTTTGTGCATTTTAAATCACAGAGCTTGATTGTTATGTGAAGTTGTGAACTCGTACTGTAATGTCATTTGTGTCTTCTTCAGGGCTGTGGCTGCACCTACACCAGTGTGTCCGGACTCAAAGCTCATCTGGGACTCTGCACAAGGGTACATTCTCTTGTTTTGTTGGTTTGGAAATTAAAGATGCAGTCCATAAAGTGCACTAAACTCATGCTTATTGGGTATAGGGAATTATTTTTGTCAAATTTTAGTGCATTTTGAGAGTGTGTAGATTTGTCAAATACGCCAGTTTAGTCCATGTGTTATAACGTAAAACTGTAACTACACTGTGTGTGCAGTATAGTTGTGGGCACTCTAGGAAAATCTGACATCAGCCCTCTTTAACCATTGATTGGGGGGAAAAAAAATCTACATGTCACCTGTAGATTAACTAAATCAAACACAGAGCCCTTAGTGCACGCTACCTACTGGCCTCTTTGCCTTTATTGAGTAAACATATAAACATAAAAAAATGCAAACAGAAAGCATTTTGAGTAACTTTAACCTAATTGTTTTACACTGAAATGACTTGGAGCAGACCAGCGTCATAATCCCAGCACAAGAACTATTGAAGAATATAACACAGACAAGTTAGCCTGCAGTTTTTAGATAACCTGCCATGTTGGTGTAAAAGCTGCTCTTACAGACTGTACACCCACGTTTATGGCCATCTGTCTGAGCGACACGCAGGCACGCCAGTTCGTTTGGAGCTGACTCAGAGTAAACTTTTTGACAAGTAGTGTCTTCCAGGATCATTTCAAGGCTCTTTTGTTTCCTTTGATCCCATTTTAGGGCGACTTTGAGGCTGGAAAATACAGATGCCTGATCTGCAATAAAGAGTTTAACTCTGAAAGTGGAGTGAAATACCACATCAACTCTGTCCATTCACAGGTAATTTAAAGTCCTCACGTGTCTTTCTTTGCGCCTTTATCCTGCTCTTTTACTTCACCATATTACTGCAGATGACTTCAACATTAATACCTCTGCTTTGGCCTCGTCTTGTGTTTTTTCTCTTGCTGCGTGCGTCTCATCAGGACTGGTTTGTGACGAACAAGAAGGCCTCTAAAAAGTTTGAGAAGTTCCTCAAAAACCAGCCGAAAGAGTTTTCCCATCATGCGGACAAACAGAGTATGGATCAGTACCACCATCACCACGTGCAGCAGCATCACCATCAGCAGCACCAACACCACCATCACCACCACCATCACCATCAGCAGCAGCAGCAGCATCAGCTCCAGCACCAGCCTCTGCAGCACCCACTGCAGCCACTGCATCACCTCCAGCACCAAACCCAGTTCCTCCACCCAGAGCGGCAGAACCTCCCTCCACAAGTGGACACCCAGCTCCAGCAGCCGATGCTCCACTACACCCCTCTGGAACCTCCTGCGGGGCCGATGTGGGTCGACATGGACCGCAGAGAAGCAGTGCCGTTACCGGAGCAGGGACCCATCGACATGGAAATGGCTGTTGATGAGAATCCTGAAGGGGACAGCAGCGGGATGGTGGAGGTTAAAAGGAGAGAGAAGGGGGGACGAGGAGGGGAGAGGGGGAAGGCTGACGGGAAGCAGAAGGATTGCTTCAGTTATAGCGGTGGCAGCGGAAGCAGCAGCAGTAGCAGCAGCAGCAGTAATACTGGCAGCTCATCGAGCGAATCAGAGGTGGAGCAGCAGGACAGGCAGAGACAGATCGACCAGTGGAACCTGAAACGACCGGGCGTCATGGAGCCCCACACTGAGGCCGGAAAACGACAGAGAAACGCTTAAAAAGACCTTGCATCAGCTCGTAGGATTCACATTTCAACTGTCTGCAGCTGATTGTAGCGGAGGTAGACTAAGGTAGGACAGGTGTCCGTCCCGACGTAATTACTTGTGACAGAAAAAAAGACATGTTCTTCGTTTTCCACAGGAGAAAAAGGCGAGAAGGCAGCTGAGGACTCGATCCCTGTAACATTTCAGATGATGATGGATACCCTAAAGACAACCTCAAGGTGTCAGCTATGGATATGAGATTATATTCACTTCTGTTTTAGAGGCTGTTTCTCTGTCTTGAGATGGTTGTCATTGTATAGCCTTGAGAAATGTAGGTATGCTGTTTATCTGTGTGTTTATCTGTAACACATTGTTTTCACCAACTTTAAATGTCTTATTCTTTTAAAAAGTTTGATAAACACTCCTTGTCTTTCATGTTTACCTAAAGGGAAAAGTTAACCCGCAGAGAGGATGCCACAGTATAGTATTTTGTTAGACTTGTCTAGTCGCTCTCTCTGAAAAGATTTTGTGCCTATTAAGTATGATCTATATAACTTCATACTGCTTATCCTCACCTTTACTGACAACTGACTGGCCTTTCTTGGCTAAATAATGTCGGCAATGTCACTTCTTTTCTGGTCGGATTTGATAGAAGAAAGGATAACTTCCCACTGGCTTGGATTCCCGTCTCTCCGTTACCTCCTTTGTCATATTTTCATTTCAGATGTTGACTACATTTCATTTTCTAGCTGTGTGTTAGCAGTGAATGCAGCTTTGTTCACTGCTGGCATTGATTTGCCATTTTTGAACCAAACCTGCTGGCAGCTTGTGGTGGGATGAGAGGTTTGCATCTGTGTAACTCTCCAGTGCAAGTAAATGACATATGAAGAGCAGTGGAAAAGGAAGGTCAGCACCACTAGTGTTAAAGGTGGAGTCTGCGATTCTGGACAAAGGCTGTTGATATTTACATAGTCAGCATGTGCCAGAGTTAAGCCTCGATTATACTCCCTTGTGCATGCACACATACAACTGTTGCGGACATCTTGGACGCGTAGCTGTTGCTTTTATACGATTTTCTAGTCTGCTTGGAGTCCAGTAAGGAGTGCACAATAGATCAGCGCCGAGATATTCCCTGTATGCTCACTACTGCGGAGCATGTGCACCGCCGCCCTTGCATCATATTTTGGGCTGCACATCCACGTGGATCCTAAAAGACGTAGGCAGATGTACACCACTGACCTGAGCTTCCCTCTTGCTCCCCCTTTTCTCCCTTAATCACCCTTCCTCTCCCCTGTATCCTGTGCATGAGCATGATTGTGTACAGAACACGCTGGAACACTGTTCGGTCCGTGCCGCCTTGTTTGTCTCCCTATTTGCAATCACATTCTCCACCTTTAAAGCAACAGCTTGTCCATCCTCCCCACGTCTTCTGCGCTGGACATCTCCAGCTATTATACAGAATGTATTTCCTGCAACAACCACCAAGTGTTGTGTTGTATTTTTTGTTTGTGTAGGATTGTGTGAGACCTGTTGAGCAGAGAGCTTTAGAGGTGTTTGGTAGTTTCCAAGAAACAGAAACAACAAAAAGGTACTCGTGAGATTATTGTCTTTACGTAGAACTTAAAACTCTAAATGGACTGTTGAGACATGTGTTCCTCTTAAACATTGTGGAGATGTGAGAGTTTTTATTTTGCAATAATTTTGTAATAATTTCAGAAATGGACTGTTTGACTTCAAATAGAAAAACAGATTATAACTCAAGGGTTACTTACCAGCGTTGTTCCAGGCTTGTAGTCACTTCTCATGGTTGTCCTCGGTGGATGGAGTTTCTCAAGCAAACTAGATCTGCTGAGAAACGCTGCAGTTGCGTCTAAAATACTTCTTTTTTTTAATTATTCATTTAAAACATTCCAAGTGAAACACAAATTTTCATCAGCAGGGAAACGAAGTAAGCACACGTTAGAATAGAACACCAATAAATATAACTCAGCAAATACTGGTAAACCAAAAACTACAGCTTCCCGGTGAGAGATCACACACTCTGATTCAGGCGGACACTCGGCCAGCTGAACATAACACAACAGCAGAGAAATATTAGAAGTGTACAGATGTAAGGAGACATTTTAATCTCTTCAGTTTAACAGATGACACCTAACTGTGGTATTTTATAGATTGTATTTGAATGCAGGCAGCCAGATTGCGTCCCCCCCTCTGCACCTCACCCACTCTTGACAGCTAACTGATGAAGGAACGCTCTAAAGCAATTTAACGTGAAGAATCAGAGTTTTTATCCTCAGTTCAGTCTTCAAAGGATATTTAACTGACAGCATGTGCCCTAATGTTTGTGTATTCTGTGTTTTGTACCTACTGTAGTGAGATATGGTTGTTGTCAGTCATTTCTTTGTGATGTTTTAACGCTGTCTTGTATTTTTTTTATTTTAATTTACAACTTTCTGCATTTATGAATGTATTAAGTTATTAGTTTCCCCTTTTTCGTGCACTTCTGATCTGCCAGATAATTGAAATATTCAACTAAAGGTACCCTTTAATCTGTGAATCTATGTAAAAGAAAGTGATCTGAACTGTATCTGATTGTTTAAAGTGCTTTATCCTTCATTGGCCTCCATCAGATGCCTTTTGGATGAGCAGTGTTGTTTATAATGGAAAACCTCTGAGGACATGGGAAGTATTTCAGAAAGTTTTTTTATTACTCACTGATGGTGTCGATAAGTGATGGAGAACAAACGTTGATCTCTTTGTCAACAGCCAGTGAGTCTTTAGTGTTTAACTCAGATAACTGGACGCTGTTACTGGCTTTTGTATTTACTGGAACATTTCATTTCTCCAGTTTCTCGGTCACGTTACTGTCACCTTACCATGCTTCCATCTTTGGTGCTAAACACTACAAGACTGTTTTGATGAAGTTTATATAGTGAATCAGTGTGGATCATTATTATAAACATCTGCCTAGAACCCATCATCAGTGACTGCATGCACTGTGTGGCCACTTTATTAGGTTTAATACACAACTGTTCAGCCATGAAGTCGACTTATATGATATCTACGATGTTCAGGTTGTTTAAAACATCTCAATAATAACCAGGATCCAAAACTACAACATGGTACTTTTTTAAAAAGCAGCTTTACTTTTTTACTCCCTGTAATTCCTCCCTAAATTTCTCACAACTACTCATTACATCACCTTTGTGTTACTCTGCAGTCACCTGAGATGTGTTGTTTGTCACTTAATTGCCGGTTTACAATGTAAATATACCCACATGTTAGCTGGGGCGGCAGCTATCTATTCATTTCACTGTTGATTCAACTGTTTGTTCTATAAAATGACAGAAAATGGTGAAAATTGTAAATCAGTGTCTCCCAAAGCTCAAGGTGACGTCCTCAAATATCTTATTTTGAAGATATTTTGTTTGCTTTCATAGAGGAGTAAAGAAATCAGAACCAATTCAGATTTAAGAAGCTGGAATCATATCATCTTGATAGCTCACTGCCTCAAAATAAATGAATCGCATTAGTCAGATTAGATAAGTAACTGTAATGTAATTGGTGAACTTGAGAACGTTGCATTACTGCATCACAGGCAAATGTAATGTGATTACAGTGTGCTGTGTTTTATTGTATTCGTGGCAGAGCTGTTGTGTTCTACAATTCTACAGTTTCATTTAGCAGACGCTTTTATCCAAAGCGACGTACATCTGAGAGCAGACACAACCCAAGCAAGGATCTAGTGAGGAGGAAACAATCTAGATAAGTGCCATAGAATAAGTTCAAGTGTGGTAGGGCGTTGATGCCAATCGCAGGCTGTGTGGGAGGTAATAGGATTTTTTTTTAATTTGTTTTTGTTTTCAGGCTGTCAAGTGCAAAGGTGTTCAGTGAAGAGCTGTGTCTTTTCTTACAGTGTGCTGAATTGCAAAAGATTGTCCATTTGAACCTGATCAAGTGGCTGCTGAAATAGTCTAACCCAGTATTCAGAGGCCTGAAGAGATGCGTTTATCCAGTAATTTACAGGGAAAATGAAGCAAATACTAGAAGGAATGTTAGAGATGTTTTTGTGTGAGAGTTTTTTTTAACTTTTGATTGTGTGCTGGCCTCTTCCCTTTCCCACTGAAATGCTTCTCATGTCCACTCGTGCTGGTGACCAAGTCTTTCTCATGCACTTTGAACTGGAAAGCAGACCCTCACAGCAGAGATGTTGACTTTGTTTGGAGAAAAGCTCCGTCGGTAACATCAGCAGTGGCTCTGTGCTATTCCAGTGGGCCGCTAATAATTTCATTATTTCACAAATGTGCTTTTCTTGTCATTCATATTTGATGAGATATAAAAGTACGACTCAAACATGTTGTCACGATAACAAAACAAGGCGTTCACAATTTGTCTTCCTCACAGTAGCATGTGTTGGGTTTTTTTTGTTTTTTTTAAATGCTCGAATGCAGTTCTGTCATCCATTTTTGTAAGCGCTGTAAAGCCACAACAGGTGCGTTGTGTTACTGAATTATATCAAATACGACCAGCAGCAAGTCCAGTTTCAACAATAGAGAGGAGTCGTGACAGTTATCACATATTTCTTCCCAGTTCTACAGGTTGGAGTTCCTGATTCTTGAAGTCGTCTTGAAGCTGTCCTTAGTAAAAATGTAAACTCTTGGTTAAGACGTCGATTTGATTCTGATTGTCTTTGACGGGTTTCATGTTGTGGCCGATGTAATGCTGGAAACTGAAGTGGTGTTATTAAAAGGTGAAGTAAAGGAGCTCTAATGAAAACAATGAAAAGCTGTTCTGATGTCTTGTGACCCACCATCAGCATCCGTACAGATAATGTAATACATTTCCAGATTTAAACAGAGGTCCAGTCAGTTAGTAGCCTCGTGCCACAAAGGAAGCGCTTGATTTTACAACTTTGTGAGACATGATTTCTATTGGAGTGAAGATTGTGTCAGCCAAGGCCACATTAAAAATCTGTACATCTAATATGATACCACTTGTTTTTTCTTCTTCTTTTTTTTTTAGAGTTCATATGCTGCTATTTTATAGTACCAACAGTGTTATAACAGCAGATAATTAAAAGTTTAATTCATGGTCATTTTGCCGTCTGTGTCTTAGTAATATTGACATGAGGACGGCCACATGTTCACTAATGCATGTGTCTGTCTGGCTCATATTTTGTATTTTCTAGACTGTAGGTCCTTATTAAATTGACATGACATTACTTTTCAATTGTGCTTCAACAGAAATATATATATAAAAAAAAAAAACAAGCATGATATGACCCATAAACTAATATTTTGTTGAACAACCCTTTGTTTTTAGCCCTCTGCTCATCAGCAAAGTGCCCTAATTTGTCTGGGAAAGTTTTGTTTGTCTTTTTGTTAAATTATTCTTTTCACCCACAATTCAAAAGCAATGTCTTATTTCACTAAATTATAATTTACCAAATTTTTATTTATTATTATTTTTCTCAGTTTTTAGTTATTTGAGTGACTATTGTGAATTTTGCCTTTTCTTTAATGGAAGGGTACGAATACATTTGAGGACAACTGTAGCTACTGGTTACAACCTTTAAGTTGACAAAATTTGTTTGACCCCTTCTGATGAAAATCCAGTTTCTTTACCTGGTGTCTATGTGGTATTTTTTTATACTCTGGAAGACACATCATTTAAAATAAGCAGTCAACACCACAGCTGAGCATTTCCACCATGAATCTACAGTGTGCCAACAACAGTCTTAAAAACATGGATGCAGACTTTTGGGATATGTAGCAAACCTAGTGGGCCAATTCTGTCAACATGCAGGATGGAGCTTTCTGTGTCTTGATTCTTCTTCAGGATCATTTTCTGCAGAATTATTTCACTGTTACAACTTTCCATTGTGTCACACAGCGTCTGAGCAGAGTTGCAGGCGAGCTGGTGTGCTCGAGCTGCAGCGTGTAGCAGAGGAGGGAGTGTGCAGAGAGGCAGGGACTTCATAGATGTGCACATTCTTGAAGGAGCAGCAGGTATAGTTGGATCTAAGCCATTTTAACACAGTAAGGGACTGTTTTCATGGAGATACGTAACTTTGATACACTGAAATGGGTTTTTAGGGATGATCAGAGAGGGACTTTAAACGGTTTATAGACATCTTTCATTTCATATGACCTGTTAAACTGCTCAGGTTGATGTGTTTTAGAGATGAAGCAAAACAAACCACAACAAGTGATAACATGCATATGATAGGACAAACACTGCATATATGAGGGATGAGCATGAGTGCAAGATGGAGGATCAGTGCAGAAGATCTCATTCAGAATGTGATGCATGTGTGACATGTTAGAAGAGGCAGCGACGGCTTCAAACTGTGATTATGAAGGCAGCTGATACCCTCGATGAGCCCCATTAACAGAGAACAGTGACGCATGTTGGGTAAAAAGGCCATATCCCCAATTAAGATGAAACATAAAAAACATTTTTGTGTTAAAAAAAAAAAATCATAAAAGCTTAAAAAATTATAAAAGCTTTCATAACTCCTGCACAACAGGATCCTTTTTCAAGACTTGTTAACATGCCGAGGCAGAAGTTCAGCTGAGCATCTCTCTAATAGCCTCCCTCATCTCCTCGTGCTGTTCTGCAGCTTTGGATTTAACCTTTGAATGTGAAAGTCCCTGCAGGTGCACTTTGCAGATCCATTCATATGACCTTGCTGTCTCTTCTGTAATCACAGGTTAACCCAAAGCCACTCTTTCTCTACATGTGCAAAGCTAATGGATGACAAATACATCTTTTGAAACAAATAACACGTTGTTCAGCTTGTTATACAGCTGGACAGGGCTACATGTAAAACCACTATGTCTGTGTATATAGTAAAGCATCCTTGATGATTCAGACACTTGCTTTAATCTGATTACATTTGTTCCACTAAGAACTATGTGGATCAAGTTACAGCTGCATTAACCCAAAGACAACAGAACAGTGTTAAAGGCAGGAGGGCCACTATACAGGGAATCTTTAAGGGACATTCACCGTCTTGTTTTCTAGCATGTGGGGGAACATTAGAGACCACTGAACAGGTTTTTTTCTTCTTCAGTGAAAGAACTCAGTAATGCATTTCAATATTTCAGACTTTGTAGCACCCAAATGCTACTTTCTCACGATTTCCACTTGAATAGGGCCCACACCAGTGGCAGTTCTATACAGGGGCCCACAGGAGGCCAGCTGGCCCCTGTGCTGACTAAGTAATAAAGTGATCACTTCATAACAATGACATGCATTCTCGCCAAAACCGAAACTAATGTGGCTCTATGTTCTATTCAATGAATTAGAGCAACACACCCGAACTGTAGCCCGGCTTTGCTCTCGGTGCTGTCTCCTGGACATATACGGACTTGCGTACTTGGTCGTGGACTCGTTGTTAATGTACAACTGGAACATCAGCGTACTAGTTGACGTCACCATCTCCATGAGGTCCTCCACATAATGTAGGACTGTTTTATAGGACCAATGGTGAGTAAAGTAAATAACAGCATCCACCCGTGCTCAGTATGGATGGTTAACGTTACTTGTTAAATGAGATGTAACAGGGTCAGTGGTGCAGCAGTGGCTGTGGGTTAAATATATATGTACTATTGTATTAGTAATATATAATATACACTTTATATTTTATTTGATTGTTATTATGATTATTGTTACAACTGAAGAGTTCATTTGCAAAAGAAGACAACTCCATCTTCACAAACCTTCAGAAAACCCACTTTTCCATCGTCTACCTGAGACAACGTCAATCAAACTTCAGTTATCTCTATTTTTCTCATGTCATTTCTACTAAGTCAGATCCACTCAGCTTCAGTTTGATTGATATTATCTCAAGCAAACAACAAAAACAAGTTTTCTGAAAATCTACAAAAACTGAGTTATCTGTTTTTGCAAATGAACTCTTTAATTACAAAGTTACACCTCTCAGTTGTGTGAAACCTTTGCTGGATGGTCCCTGTTAGGTTACACATGTCAACACTGGCCCGATAACCTCATTGTTTCAGATGATGTATTTTTTGTAAATACATAAATAAGCATTTGTTTAATATCAGTATGAAGTGAATAAGAGTTTTTAGTGCTTTAACATCATTGATGTCGTTTTTTTATTGTGCCCCTGTGATCAAACGCTGGCCTCCTCCTGACCCTGGAGTCAGTCAGGATTGAACCCTCGGCTGCTGGACACTTTATTAGGTGCAGTTCCGCGGTGTGCTGGTAGGGGGCAGTGCGGACCGCGGGGATGCCAGCAGGAACATGGCGGTCTGATGTAAGCAAAATGTGGCTTTCAGCTGCCTGAACCAGAGGAAACAACGCGGGAGATGTTTGTAGTTCGCCTTCCGTGAAAGAATACCGGCAGGATTTACATGTCGGTTTGCTCTCTACGGCTCCGGTGATCCTCCACCGCGTAGCTGCCGGTAGCGGAGTTTGGGATTCGATCCCGGGTGGCCGGAGTCCAGCTTCCCGTATTCGGTACGAGGTCTTTCAGCCTTCGCCACCGGGGAAGAAGCCGTGGATCCACACCGGGTGAGCTTTTAACGGTGGTAGTAGTCGGTTACCGGCTGATTTTAAGCACGTTACAGTTGCTTTAGCGACACACTCTACGGCTACTTTAGCCAGTTAGCATTAGCTGTGTGTGAGTTAGCTCAGTAGCGTGGCTAAAACACTATGTGACTCACTGCAATAACAAGCGACTTACTGAAGTTTCCTACTTAAATAACTTAATGCTTTGTATGTTTTGTTTTTGTAACATGCGCCGAATTTATGAGTGACTTTAAAACATGAAGTATCTTAGGTTTTTTTTTGTATGTGGTACCCATGTACACTTGCCTATAGAGAAGACAGCGTAAAACCGACACATTTTTGAATGGACTTTGGTGTAGCTGTGTCAAACGACAGGATATCGACGTGATATCGGTATAACGCGCTTCACTGTGCAATAATTATTAGCAAGCCGTAATGTAAAATATAGCACAGACTCGTATGGTTTTATTGTCTTTCGTTATTCTGTTGAATGGTGGTTGACAACTGTGAGGCAGGCACTCCCAGCCCAAGGAGCAACACTGAGGTAGTATGATGAAACATTACTGATCAATGTGAGCAGTCACTGTATGGCTGCAGGGATACACTTTGCAGATTATACTATGTCTGTCTTAGTTTCTGTTTCTGTCTGTGCAGCAGCAGAAGCAGAGTGAGGAGGAACTCGCTCTACACATGAGGAGGCATCTAACCAGACAACCAGAGCAGCAGAAAGCCAGAGCTGATGGATCCCATTGACTCTGGACAAGGTCTGCCAGCTGTTCTCTCATTTATTGCATTTAGTAGTGGAATATAACTACATACACTGCTCAAGTACTGCGCTTAGGTACAAATCTGAGGTACTTGTACTTGAGGATTTCCATTTCTTGCAACGTTATACTTTTAATGCACTACTTGACACATGATGTACTCTTTACTGCATTTGTGAGATTGTTTTAGTTACTGCTTACTTTTCAGATGGCATTTTCTCATGCCCTTCCTGTCCAAAGTAATAATAATAACAATAATAAAATATCTAGAAAATACATCTCTAATTTTTTAGATGAGATGTTCTTTTATAGATTGTGAAAATTCTACTACCTCTGAAGCTAAAGAAACTATTTAATAAGCCTCTTGGGTTAGCTGTAAGACGATCTCACAGAATATGATGCATTGCTGTAGATCTTCCTTTTTGATTGTTTTTTTTCTCCTGTCTATTGCTCATTTACCCGTGCACACTTGGAGCTGCATGTCAAATAACTCCTTGTATTGTAAAGTTTAAAAAAAAAAAAAGATAATTCTAGCGTGTCCAAAAGTTTTATCAAGCAGCATGAAGGTTGCAGCATGATGCATTTGAGGTCATTTGCCTTGCTTCATTTTACACTTCCTGTGACTAGTACGCATGTCCACATCGACGTGTTGAAGCTGGAACATTATTTTGTGCAGCAGTACATTGATACACTAGGAGGTAATCAGCTCAACCGTAAACACATAAACGTCCAAAAAAATTGTGAAACACTGACAGGGAAGAGTTTATGGCAAATGTGCAAAAGTGAATTTTGCTGTTTATACATATTTGTACATTTTAAGTTTTACATGAAGGACTGTTTTAGGAATGTGGTCGTGATACTTTACTTCATTAGGCTTTGTGGCTTCTACACTTTGTTGAGCTACAGTGGATGATGTTTCAGTCGTGTAGGTGAGCTTTTGCTACTGTGTCCTAAAGATGTTGTCAAGCGATGATTATTCTAATCTTGGAAGGCGCTCAGATTTGATGTGCTGTTTTTTATTTTGGGTGGAGATATGTGAGTAATGAATAGAGAGGGGCTGAGGAGATGTAAATATGTGTTGATTTTCTGACTTACCTAAAACATATTTAGGAATACTTAAAAAAATAACATTATGTTGGGTCAAATTGTGTGATCAAAGTAAGTAATTCAAGGATGTAAATTATTTCATTTGCACAAATGACTAATTCAAGAGCATTACATTCTAATTTGTGCCTATTTCCCTTCATTTCCCACAACATCTGCCATTCTATATATTACAACATTATACATTTTGCTGAATGCATTCTTTTTGTAAGGGGCTGTGAAGGCAGCATTTGTTGGGATGTAACCGTGGGATAGATGAAAACATAGTTGTACACATGTTCCTTTTTGGTTCAGCTCTGTGTCCTCTTAATGGTTCATTCAGTGCTTTTTGGATTTTAATTGTACTATGTCATGTACACATGTGGAATAATGATATCACTGTCCTTGCAGAGCAAGAGAAGCCGTCAGAGCAAAGTAGGGATTTAACACCCAGCTCAAAAGGACGACAACGGAAGAAGAATCCCAAATATTTAGATTATGAAACTGATGACACACCGAGTGTACAACAAAAACTGCCTAGAAAGAGTTTGGGAAGAGAAGGAGCAGCTCCTCAAAAGACACCAGCAAAGAGGGGAAGACCTAAATCTGCCGCACGACGGACTGCAGATGAGGCAAAAGAAGCAACGGACAAAACACCTCCAGAGGTAGATGAAGAGTCTGTGGTAGAGACACCTAAAAAAACAGTTAGAGCGAGGAAAACACCGGCTGGAAGGACTGGTAAAAAAAAAACTCCTGCCAGAAAATCTCCCCTCACCGATGGGAACCTGCCGTCTGTGGAGGTTGTAGTTCAAGATGCCGTGCAGCAGGAAAATGGGACGCCGAAACCAAAGAGGAAATATGTCAGGAAGCAGCCGATACAGAAAGTGGAACCGGTTGAAGATCCACCGAGTGAGAACAACACAGGCCAGCCTCCAGGTGAAGCCGAGGAGCCCGAATCAGGCGGCCGACGCAGGAGAGGAGCTGCCAAAGCGTGAGTTACAGGAAGTCTGATGTTTACAGCAACTACTGATCTACAACATTAGTCCTGCATGTATAATGATGGACGTTTTTAACTGCGGGAGCATAATTTATCTAGTAACAGACAGCAGCTTAACACATCCTCAAAACTGCAAATGTTCTTTAAAACATCGAAAATAGCAATCTCAGAATTTATTATTCAAATATTGTGAACAAAATCTTCCAGGGCGCTGAAGTACCTGCAGATTTTGGCAAAAGAGGTGCTTGGTCACCCCAGCGATGAGCCCGACTCCCAGCCATGTGCCAACAGTGAAGACACCAGCAAAGAACAGAAAAGTTCCCAAGGAAACAAAGGTACAATAGAAATCCTGCTGCCTCTTACTGTCAGCGCATCAGTGTACTTCTGGTTATGCTGTACTTAAATGCAATGTTAAATTACATCACCGATATTGAAGGGTTTATCTGTGTGTATCCTGACATTAGTTACGCTTCATTTTCCTGCAGTGCGTAGAGGTAGGAAGAGGAAACATCATGACAGTGATGCTGCAGAGGATGAAGACTTTGTTCCAGGTGTTGAAGAAGACGAGGAGGCTAAAGAGATGGAGGATGAAGATGAAGATGAAGAAGCAGAGGAGTCAGACTTAGACTCAGACTTCGACTCGAGGACACTTGGAAGAAGTCAAGTGGTGTTTAATTCCAACAAGAACAATGTTAGTGTGTTTTTTTTTCTAATCTTTACTGTATTTTTTTAATCGTAGTGCCCCCTGTGAGTCAGTGGGTTGGTTCTGTGAGATTCAAGTTGTTATTCGAGGAGTTCCGTTATAATTGATCAGTCTTATTAAACAGATTGTCAGACTTTCAGAAGATGATGCTTTTTATGGAGCATTTAAGATGGATTTGGATGCTAAATTGACACTGAATGGTAGATTTTTCTCCTCTCTCTTCTGAGTATCGTATATTTGGATTAGCGATTGGGCTGCAAGATGACTCGGTGGTTAGCATCGTTGCCTCGCAGCGAGAAGGCCGTGGTTAGGACACCGGGATCTTTCTGCGTGGAGTTTGCATGTTCTCTCCGTGCAGCGTGGGTTCTCTCCGGGTTCTCTGGCTTCCTCCCACACAGTCCAAAAACATGTTGAGGTTAATTGGTGATTCTAAATTGTCCGTAGGTGTGAATGTGAGTGTGCTTGGTTGTCTGTCTCTAAGTGTAGCCCTGTGATAGACTGGTGACCTGTCCAGGGTGTCCCCTGCCTTCACCCTGAGTCAGCTGGGATAGATTCCAGCCCCCCATGACCCTAGTGAGGATTAAGCGGTGTACAGATGATGGATGGATTAGCGATCATTCCTATTGGTTACTCACTCCCTTAATGTTGTTATACGGAGGAACTTCTTCTGACATCAGTAAACACATTTTGTTGGATTATAATGGAAAGTTTAGATAAAAATTGCATCAATTCATCTACAAAATTATCACAAGCAAGGAGCTTCATAACTGGAATTACAGGTGGTCTAAAGCAAAGCATTAACCACTATTGTTTAACTGTAAGTGAAGCATCTTTTAAGAGAAAATTCGACATGTGCAGAATTAATGTAGCAGACTGAGAGGAAACAAAGAAGTGCATAATGGCAAAAACTTTTTTCTCCTGCAGTTGTGCCCGTATCCTAAACCTCTGAACGGACTCAGCATCACCATCATGAAACCTGCCTGGGAATCCATCGAGGCCACCAAGAAATTGTAAGTAGTTGCATTCGCTCCCGTCCTCTGGTTGTGTTTGCTTTAAGTCGCCTCAGTTTGGGAGTGTTATTGTAGCCAAAGTATTTGTAAATGTGTATGGAGGGTTGTGTGTCTGTATCTTAAAATGTGTCTCCGTAGTGAGATTTGTAAATGTGTGAAAGAGTTTGTCAATGCAAGCAAAGATATGAATAGATGAAAAATCTAAGTTACAAGTGCTGGAAATCACCAGTTTTAAGTCAAGCGGGCCTCACAGTGGGTTGTCTTTTTGAGCGTGACTTTTGCTACACTTCTACCGTGACAGATTTGTATTTGTAACTTGAAGGTTTCTGTGCCGCCATGCTTCATCCTCCTCTGTGTTACATATCTGTATTTTTAGACTTGACTGCCAGATTATGAGACTTAATATCTGTTATCCTTAAAGAGAATATTCTACCACAGTGTCGCGTGCCCTTAAAGACTTTGGGGGACAGCGCCACCTGATGGCTTGCAGGCGGCATAACTACTGAGGTACAGAGATGAGATGAACGAGCCTGTGAGTCTGAGCACAGGGCAAAGAAACCCTGAAGTTACAGACACAAATCTCTCACGGCAGAAGTGAAGCAAAAATCCCTGAAAAAACCAAATGAGGTCCGCTTCACTTGTAACTTGTCTGTATTTCCAGCACCTGCAGCCAGATACTAGTGACTTTTCATTGATTAATATCTTTGTACGCATTGACAAATCTCACTACGGACACACAGATTGAGACACACAACTCTCCATACATGTTTACACATATTTTCACTACAATAATACCCCCATAGTCAGACTTTTAAGAACTGACAACAGAGGCGACGCACGTCTGCTTTAAAAGTCACACATTCACTACTAAGAATAATAATTGCCAGCACAACCAGCAAGTATCGTTGTCCTCCCGCTGGACATCTGCAATAACTGTCATATTTCAAACATCTGCATCAGAAAGAATTCACTTTTAGTTTGTCCTTTTTTTTTTCTCTTCTAACACAGACATCATGTAAAAATGCTGAGTCATTCATAATATCATTTTACAAACACAAATAGGTCCAAAACAACTCTGGGAAAACAAGCCACTGACAAACACCTGCTTGTTTACTAAACTGCTTGTTATTTTTAGCCGTGTGCTCATGTGTGTTTCCAGCCGGGAAGAGCACTGCAGCAGCTGGGTGTTCCCAGAGTGGGTCCCCTCCACCAGCGACTGGGATCCTGTAGCACAAAGGTAGCTGGTTTGACCTCTGTTTGTAATTACTGAGTTAATCCACGTCTTTTAATGGGCTCATAGTAGCAAAAATGAAGTTTTTTTAGTTTTACCATCAAATACTTTCCAACTCTCTGCTTCACAAAAGCTGCTGCATAAATAAACCTAATGAGTAACTTTGCTTTTTTTTTTAAAAAACGCTTATCCAATAAAAGTTCTCAGCACAGTAAACTATACTGAATACGCTCTGATTATGTTTCAAAACTGCCAATTTTTGTGTATCAAGAAATTAAACTAAAAGCATCTAGTTTGTCTTTCGGGCGCTCTGAGTTGCCAGATGGTTTTCATATCTCGCCAGCTGGAGATCAGTTGTGTTGGTAAAACAGCTGATTGTTAATATTGTTTTCTTGTTTTACATTACATTAACAGTAGACGCTTTCAAACTATGCAGGAACAAGAGCGCAAAACTGGAAGCATATGCCATTTCCAAAACTTGCTAAAGGTACATTCCGTACAATTAATATACTTAGAGATGATTAATTAGCATTAGCATGGATTTTTGAGACAGTCTGAGATGTTTCTAGTCTGGAGCAGATGAAAGGCAACGACTCTGCTGTCTGGGTTTAGCAGTAACTTAGCTTAGCTTAGCTGAGTTGCAACCACAAGATTCTCAGAGAGATGAGAAGGTTTCACTGACAGGTCATCGAGGCAGCTTGGAGGCAGGACGTCGCTATTGCAACAACACGTCATCAATAGGGTGAAACTAACCCGTCTGACGGCTGTCTAAACCCAGCTTCCTATTAGTGGGAGAATTAGTTGGGACAATTATAGGAAGATCCGACATCGAAGGTTCGAAAAATAATCAGTTCCCTTACCTGACCAGATAACCAGCACCAGGCTTTTGAAATGGACGTGAGTGACAACAGGAAGTCAAATGTAGTAAATGGACAAGAGAAGCAGTGTAGGACTACTTGTGCAGGCAGACAGCAGCATTCTGGGTTATGTGCAGAGATCTGCCAGCAGACGCAGGAGTTGGAGACGAGACGTGGTTTTAGACATCATGGAAGCATCTGCTGTACATGTTTGGTGAGATATGTATCAAAAACAAGTTCATTATCTTTGTGTATTTGTGTGTTATTGCAGTGACTTGGAAACATACCTGCCTCAGGAGGTTCGCTCGGCTCCTTTCAGAGTGTCCAGAGAAGGTCTGATGGAGGAGGACACGCCTCTACAAAGACTCAGCAGGTGAGACTGATGAGCATCTAGATGAAGATTCTTATTCATATTTTCATCTGGATTCAAAGCTGGATAAATGTAGTTCAGCATCAGGTATCTCCTTTAGTACACACATAATAACTACACCAAGTCTTACATGAAGTTAGATGTTGCTTCTTCATTTGTTACTTCTGTGTTCTTGTTTTTCACATGTCAGTGTTTATCCATGTAACGCCAAGTGCATCATATTTGATACATGACTTTTTAAGACCTCTATATCATCAGTGTGATATCTTTTTTCTCCTGAAAAACCTGGTGTATGCATGATCCAGATAATTATTTTTGTTGGTTTGTAGTGGGGAAGAAATAAAGTAAACATGTGTTGCAATGTTTGTGTTTTTTTCTGCATTTTTCTTCGATTGCTGGAATTTTCTTTTATTTCTGTGGTGTGTCACTGACAGGTTCGAGGCACTGCCTCCTCACCCAGAACGCTGGGACATGTGGCTGTATACCGGCGGACCAGTCTGGGCCCTGGAGTGGTGTCCGACACCTGATGGTGCTATTGCCACCCAGTACATGGCGCTGGTCTGCCATCGAGGGATGGATGACCTGCACTACGCTAACAAGACTGGGCCAGGTTCTGGACTTGTTCAGCTGTGGGACGTGGGCAAACTGGAGTACAACAGCAGGTACAGATGAAATGTGCACGGTGGGGCACCCCAGATGAATTCAATTCAAATAACTTTATTTATCCCCTAGGGGCAATTCAGAAAGGATGTTGGAAGCTGACTATGATCTGAAAGATTATTTTCAGTGGTTCTCAGTGAAAAATATCAGATTGGCTATCAAAAACAAAAAGCTTAAATATTTACACAACAAAGCAGCAAACAATCACATCTAACACTGAATCAATGATTTTTTTTGGCATTTATCATAAATAAATAATTGAAAAGAATTATTACTCATCAAAATAGTCATGACTGGTTTTCCGTGAATTGGCTCTTCAGTTTGACTCCTACATTTTGCAGTGCTGTGGATTTGATTTTTCCAGAGCTTGAAAGACTTTTATTTATTTTAATTTAATTGTTAAATGGTCTCCACTTATACAGCACCTTTTAACCTTCATTAGGTCTATAAAGCACTTTCCATCGTTTCCACACACCAGTGGCAGCAGAGTTGCCATGCCATGTGTTTGTCTGCCATCAGAAACAATTTGGGCCTTACTGTTTTGTCCAAGGACACTTGGGCATGTCAAAGCACTGGAGACTGGCCAGCCCTATATTTTGAGGAGAAACCTGCTCTACCACCGGAGCGACCTTTAGCTTTTTTATATATTGATCTTCTTCATTGTTGTCCTCTTCCTCCACTCCTGTCCCTGCAGCCCAGACTGCCAGCCAGCCCTGGCCTACGGTTTGGCCGTGGACAATGGCTTCATAAGATATATAAAGTGGTGTCCTGCAGGAGGTTGGGAGCTTCCCAACTGTGTCAGAAAGGTACAGTGTTTTTAAGAAAGAAGTGCAGCATGAAGTGTTATGGCCTGTAGCTGAATCTGACATTTAGGATTGATGCTGTCTCCTTTTAGGCTCCTTTCCTGCCCAGACTGGGTCTTCTGGCTGTAGCCACCTCCAACTGCGTGGTCACCATTTACAGCCTGCCCCACCCAGATGCTCTGCACTCCGGTGAGAAGCTAGCTAACTCAGGTAGGACTGTAATCATTAGTCATGACTTACTAGCTTTTCCCTTCAGATTGGTTTGCAGTAATTACAACCACTCAGTTACAGTAAGATACACAAAGTTCTAAATCAGTACACAACCCTGACCAGACCCCGATACAGTGAGTTGTGTTCTGTGTTCACCAGAGGGCAGTGTTGGCTCACTAAAGCCTCAAGTCACTCTGTTGAATACCAGTTTTCTGCTGTTGCCTGTGAGGACTCAGGACTGCAACAAGCATTGCATCACTGTTGGTTTTAGGATCGTTTCAGCACTGTAGTAAATACGGCTTCACCCTGGATTTGTTTACATCCTCCTAAAGAACACCCAGCTGCTGATTTTGACATCAGCTTTTCTCTTTTCCGTACTCGATTTATAAAACACAACAAAAAATATAAACAGGAGCTTCCAGCAGGCGGCAGACTCGCTTAGAAGCAACAGCAAAAGATGCATTAAAAAAAATCAGGAACTTACAGGTTTGAAATCGTTAAGGGCCAACTTTAATATACAGTTTCAGTAATACCTGTATTAACTGTTGGTTGTTAACAAATGAAAACATCTGAAAGCTGGGCTGGTAATATTATGGAGGTAAAAGAAGTCAGAAGTTCTCACATGATGACATTGCTGAAGAATTTGTGGAAAAGTATCGGATTGTAAATTTCAGATTACATTCTTAATTAATAGTCGGCCACTTCATCAGTCAACAATCGACTAATCATTGAAAAAGGTCAAGTACAGTAGCATGTTTTTGTATGCTGATGATGCCACTTTTAACCATGGATATAACACCTGCCATTAAAAAGCTCAGATCCATTTGCCACTCGGCTGTGAGACTGCCGTGCCAGGTAACGTTGGCTGATCTTTATTGCATGAGCTCTGGCTGGAGGCCATTAAACGCCACAGAAGTCTCTGTCATGACACCCATTGCTACCTAAACCCCCCACAATGCTTTCTGCAGAACCCTACAGAACCTCTTAAAACCCAGTATGGCCTCTTTGAATAGCTTTATATGCCTGACCACAAGTCGAAAACTTTAGAATTCTCTATTTACGACAGAAAAAAACTTTAAATCCTCACTACAGAGAAGCTAAGCAGATGCCACTTCTGACAGAAAAAAATGACAAGTAATTATCAAACTAGTTAGCTAATTAATTTCCTGTTGATTAAATAATTGATGAATAGTTTTACTCATTATAATGATTATGTTACAGGCGTTCGTACACAGCAGACTGAACTCATCAGTAAGCATGTGATCAATCAAACAGCAGCTTATCCATCACATCAGACACGGACCTCATTAACTCGACCAGATCTTATGGACAGTATCCATGAAGACCCTCTCTCCACTTGTGTGTGTGCATATTCAGAGCTCGAGGGTCTATAAAACTATTTCACGCGGCTTTAACAACGGCAGCAGAGAATGCACGTGCACACACACACACACACACACACACACACACACACACACACACACACATAACGCTCTCCTGGAGTGTGAGTATATGCTGACATTATGGATGGTGGAGCCTGTGGTCCAGTCCATTCAGATCACTGCGTCAGCCGCCTCTGGGGCTCTGCTGATAGAAGGCTATATGAATGAGATTAATGGCGAACTTATCTGCCACATCCATCATACACAGAAGCCCAGTTATGTCTACATGTGTGTGTGTGTGTGTGTGTGTGTTTATCTGTCTGCGTGTGCCCAGCGCTACGGGCTAATCTGATTTAACATAACACCAGTGTAAGATCGCACCATTTCAGCTTTCAAAATAAATGCTTGCACGCTTACATTGTATCACGGTCGACACAAGCGTCTTCCATCCCATTAAGCCTTGTCTTATGGGGCATGTCCTCTTGAGCACGGTGTAACATGAGCGTTGAGTGATATTTGTGTTTGGCGGCCTGTAATTACTTTTTTTTTGGGGGGTGAAGAATGCTCTTGCGCTGCATTTTTTTCAACGTATAGGAGACACAATGCAATATATTCTTAAACATTTTCTTACCCGAGGTAGCATTTATCTATTGGCCATGACAGAACCTCAGTTATTCACCTATAATTCTGTGCCTCCCCCTAGAAAGCGATGCCTTTACTCTCATTTAAGGGCACCACTATAGAGGAGCTCATGCACAGTCAATCATATCTTAATATTAAAGTGAAATTCTGGTTGACATCAGACTCCACTACATTACACATGGCTTGGTTTTATAATCAAGAAAAATTTCTAGTGCCTGAATGTGGACATAAAAAGCTGTATAGAACCTGACATTTCTATTCTTTTACCTTTTCCACCCAGTGCTTCATGGCCTCTGGTTTCCATTTTATTTTGTGGCCATGGATCATTGGGTCCAGTTTCCAAAGAGCTACTCCTGCTACATCAGCCCCCTGCTTCCAACCACAGGTTATAGTTATTGGATAGAAAGGTTGCAGAAAGCTCACATGTGAAGATAACTGCACCAAAACACAGAGATAACTGCCCTGACAAACGTAGGACTAACACTGAGTTTTCGGCCATGGTTGTAGTCACAGGTCATGAGTCCAAGTTACCCCCATGCACCTATAACACCTCTCTAAAATGTTAAACAATTGGGTGTCAGTCTTTTTTTTCTCTCAACATGAATGTCTTAATGTTATCTCAAAGGCTACTCCACATTTTGAGAAAAAGGACAAACATGTATTTATCTTTTTTTGTTTGTTTTTGGTGATGGTGGTCTAATTTAAACATGTTCTCTGGGTCGGTTTATAAGATATCCACCATTTACCCTGTTAGCACCAGAGCCTGCAGCTTCTGAGGTCGACCAGTGGGTCCATCTTGACAGAAGGTGATAGTGTCTAGATTGTAGTCTGATGGGACTCTCCTAATGGTTGTGAAGACCCCTGACCTTCCCTCTAGCACCACCATTTTCACCAGATACAATGGCCAGAATGCCGTGAAGGGGATGCTACTGATTGTGTCTTTATCTTAATACTAAAAAGGCCAAAACCACCATATCATTATCATTATCATTTTAGCCATTCTCATGAGGTCACTCTAGATACTAGAAAGTGCTAACATGCTAAAATGAAGCAATAAATTCAATGATGAATATTGCACGAACAAAAAAACAACCCTATATAGTATTTCTACACAAAACAGTTCAGCATGTACCTTGGTTTAGGTGTCAGCATTCCATAGCAGATTAAAAAAGAAGCATCCCTTTTTTCCCCATTTATTTTCAAAAAAAGAAAAAACATCACAAGTTTTTAATTAGCCCTAATTCTTACTATAACTTAACTTCTGCATACTGTCAATAACAAAAAGACAACAATCCAGCAATGCACCTAAATTAAAAATTTAAGTCAGCATCTCAGCTTTAAAAATTGCACCAAGTAACGCTGCCTTTCTCTGTTTTTCAGTAGCTGAAGAAATGTAAATGGCAAAATGTTCCGTCTGTGCTGCTTTGATATCTAGTTCGGGTGATCAGTACATCTGGGTGAAGCTGCTGAATATATGTTGGGATGTTGAATGTGTTTCCACACACAGATCCTACAATCATCTGTGGAAATAGTATCTATAAATGCCAGCTGATGATATTAAAGCATCCGACGGCAGGAATAATAGACAAATACATCATTATCTCTTCACACGCTGCTGCCTTTATTCCATATTGGAGCATTATGATGGTCTGGTTGGTCTTCTTTGATTTGATCAGGTGACATCTGCTTTTTCAAAACTGGTGATCACAAAGTTGTAGTTGGTCATGCTGGTCACAATAATCCCAGCCTCTGATCAGAGAAAAAAATAACTGATTGATTGTTTCTCTTAAATGCAATAGATGCAAACCACCATGAAGGAACATAATGAAAACACAGATTTCAGTCGTGTGAACAAACCAATCATGCTCCCTCTCTGGCTCATAAACAGCCTGTCTTATCTATACATGATAGAGCCTCTCCATCACTCATGCAGGCTTTCTGAGAAACACTAGTCTGTTTCTACCTGGGCCCCTCGTCCCCTCCATCTGTATCCAAACACCTCCTCTGGTGGAGGCTGCGTCTTGCGGATGCTGGTGGTCGCTCATGTGAGATGGATTCGCAATCAGAAAACAACCAACACCCAAGACCTCCACCTAAAACAACGCACTCCCGGTGGTTTGAGTGCAGACGGATTTGACCCCAGGGTGCATGCAGAGGTGCTTAAGGGCTTACAGCTAAAGATTGTTGGGTTAACCCTATTCAGGACTTTCGGGGTCTTCTGGACCCCAGGCCATTTGGTTTAGGTGACAGGTATTGGGTTGTTTTTTTTTTGTTTGTTTTTTTTTTTTGAAGATTTTTTTTTTATATAAAAAGAGGGACATTTGTCATGCATTTGGAACCCAAAATATGTCAACTTATCAGAAAATGTATCAAACATTAAAAGTCTATAATGAATAACAACAAATATTTTGCACACATTCTTTCTTGGTGTCTAATGGACCCCGAAAGACCTTCTACGTATGGAAACATGAAAGTCCTGAATAGGGTTAAACTTGCACTCCTATTATTCTACCCATCAGTCTTTGTACTGCGTATTCTACAACGACATGCCCCAAATGTAAAGTTCAAGACGGACATTTCACCCCCACTCTTGTCCGCCACCACATTTACTTCACTGCAACTCCTAAAGATCAAAGACAAAATTTGTACATGAACTTTTACATGTGCTCTGTTATCTTTCAGTGACCATTACATCAGATAGACAGTTGTCTGTAATCAGAGAGTGACTGCAGCAGACACAAACCTGAAGCATTTCAAAGTAATGCATGCAACTTAATCATATGATTTCCAGTAAGATGTGAAAAACTTCTGCAGGCTTTCAACCAACAACTCTCCTGGCATGTGTGATTTTGAGCTGTTGCCCCCAAAGCTTATTTTGCAGGTAGAAAAATACCTTTCATCGACTGTATTTCAGAGGGTTACATTTATTTTGAACTGGCCCTAGAGCAGCAGGGGAGGGATGGAGAAAGGTACCTGTAACGGTGTGAGAAATGACCAGTGAATTTCTTCACGGCGCCTCTCGGCCTGACGTGATGAGCACTAATTGAATGAAGATTAGCTATCTTACGTGACCATAGCTGGATATAATTTCTGCGAGTTTCGGTATCAGCTGATAGGGTTAAAGGTGAAATTGGCTTGGATGGCGTTAAACAGTGTGTGTGTGTGTGTGTGTGTGTGTGTGTGTGTGTCTTTCCCTTTCTCCCTCCACCAGCCCAGCGCTGTTAGCCACAGATAATTATAAATGGCTTTTGTCCATCCAGTCACCAGAATGAATGAGCAAGTGAATGAGAAGAGCGGGCCGTTAAAGCCCAAGAAATGGAGGGCGGAGGAGGTTGGAAGGAAGGGAGGAAAAAAAAAAAAAAGACAAAAGGGAGAATGTGAGACAGCGTAGTGAACTCACATAATTTACAGCGGCGTTCTCCATCAGACAAGGATCTATAATTGAAATGACAAAGAAGATGCATCACCGAGCCAGTTGTTAGTGTTGGAAGCTATGAATTTTAGGTCTAGTAGCTGACAGTTCTTGTATCCCTACTCTGTCAATCACCAAGCACTTAGTTAGGATTGGGGGGAGAAGTAGGTGGGAGCATTCTGGTTTTATTCATTGGAAGCATCGGTCTGGTATTAGTCCTTAGTTTAGGGGTTTAGTGTTAATATTATTTCCGGTTATGGTTTAAAGGGTCGGCTTTTACATGATAAGATGGGTTCATGGTTGAAAACTGGACTACAGGAGGTTTGGTGTAGATAGACTTTAATATTGTTAATTTATAGGCACTTAAACAAAAAACTTAAAAATAAATATACAGTGCTGACTCATCATAGGCATCAGTTAGATTGAAGCTTTGTGCACAAGAATTCATCATCTTAGGGCTGAGCTATGCAGGTGAGAAATTTCTAATGATGAAATATTTAATTTTGGTTAATATTCATCATTATCAATTAATTTTTATTGACCTGTATTCTCAAAAACAGAAGCAATAGGTTTTAGAATTTAACTACCCTACTTCTACGATCAAGGTAGACAATATCATTAATGTTAACACAACAATGATAAACACACAAATATACACGTAAAATAAATAATGATAAAGAAGTTATTCCTCCTAAATACACATTAATAAAAGAAAGTAAGTTAAAATCTGTAGGTACACAGAGGACGACCATCGTGAAGCAACTTCACTTTGCTGACGTGAGCGTTCAAAGTGACTGGCCTGGATGGGGGCCCGGCACCAGCCCTTGAACAACACATCAAGTCTGCCTGTCCCTGCAGTGAGCCATCAGGAATGCATCGCTTATAAAGAGATGTTTGGGGACGTGAGGGTCAGAAGTGTTTTGACTGTGAAGCCCATCAACCACTAGTCCACAGCAGGGGAGGTCTGCATGTATAGATGGAGACAGTCAGAGGCCGAGGAAATTGGCACTGAAGCCAATGGGAGAGTGATGGAGGGCAAGGGGGCTACAAGGCTACAATAGACTCTTTATGAGCCAGGGAGGAAGCATCCTCGGGGTTTTGTTCATACAACCAAATTTTTTTTTATTTATGTGCTTTCATAGCAGTTTGCATTTAATCAATTTGATCAAATTTTCTATACGTTCCCAGTAGTGTCAATATAATCTCCAAGTACACACTGCTGTCCTTGTAGTTGTGGACTACACGTGGATGTCCATAGAGTGGTGCGTATTGACTCTTGCAGAACTGTGGAGATTACAAAATGTGTCATTAAAACTACCAAAGTATTTTCTTATTGCTGTTGATGAAGTGTCTATGGGCAGTAGATATTGCCAGCATTTATCTCCCACCCCTACTTTATCAGGATTAGATAAAACAGATCAGATAAAACCCCATTCTACAAGTTTTTCAAGTTTCATCACAGAAAACATGATGTTACCTCAGTAAACGAAGGCGACGTCCACAAATAACACATCAAAACCTGCTTAAGTACAAGTTTAAAAGAAGGATAATATAGACGTTAAGAGTAAGAAGGATGTGACCCAACCAAACCTTTCAAGCCCACTCCTCATCCGTGCATCCTGATGGGTTGAGCCTACAAATTACCAACCACACTGTTGTAATTGGTGCCATGTGGAATGTAGGTGCCAAGTTTTGTCAAGGTAAGATGAAGGAAGAGTGGAATAACAAATCCAGTGTCTCTTGTAAATGCAAGTGTATTCACAGTTAAGAAAAGCACAGAAAAAGCGGAAAATCTGTCAGTAATGTAGTGTCTACGTTCACTTTTAAGCCATCTTAGGCTTCTGTTAAACCCAAGTCCGAGTTGTAGAGCCATGTCGGATAACATGAGTCGACATATTCCGCTGACAGCATGCGTGGAGGTCACATCAGGTCTTTCAGCAGAGCTAGAAGAGCAAGGCTTGATGTACAACTCAAGAGGCTTATATAAAAGCACTAGTGTGTGTTTTTCTGAGGCCGAGGTGAGTTGATGGAGGGTGCAGAAGACTGAAGAGGACACTATTGATCTCGACTCTCAGTAATCTAAACTGGAGGAGGAGAGAAAACTAATGATCCGGAACAGTCCGACACCTTTTTTTTGTTATTGGATTTTACATCTATTAAACTCAACGGTGATAGTCGAGACGCGCGCAGCAGAATTACTGCCAAAGTGGTGCCGAGCATCCAGTCATTTTGTAAACGCATCAGAGGCGTACTTAGGTTGGCAATGTCGGTTCGTCCTCTGATCTGTCCAACACGTCGTATTCCATCATTTGGACGGCTTCTCATAAGCACTGAATTGATAAAGTTTGATTCATTTCCTGGTGATGGCAAAGTCAGGACACATTATATTGTCTTGTCTTCCGTCCCATTATTGGGAAGGCGATGTCTCTTCGTAATTAAACAATTCATACACTAGTCATGACAAATTTTGTGATGAAATTTTATATCCAAAAGATCTAAAGTCAAGTCGGGGCAGGAGTCTTTGATGGAAACTGTAACTTGAGTGGTTGGTGGAGGCATACAGTCGCATGATGGATATTTTCATGACCCTTTGACACTTCATCGAGCACATAGGTTATATTTCCTACTTGTTCACACTTTAGGTTAAATCAATGATATTGATTTTGCTACTTTAGGGTTAATACTAGCAGGCTAACATTCTAAAAGCAAGCAACTTTCATGCTTTATTAGTATCATGCAAGCTTACGTGCTCCCCTCTAGCATCTAGTCATTGCTGCATGCTTGACCACACGCTGTAAACTAGAACTTGTGATTCATAAAGGCCACAGCAGCTGTGCTTTTTGCTGTCTGAGATGATGGCATGCTAAATGTCAGCATATTATTAGGGTTTTAGCTATGAGCTTGTTAAGCTTGCAGTAGACAGAAATCTAGAGAAGTTCAAATAAAGACAGAATATG